CACAAATTTGGGTGGGAACAAATAAATTAAGTTTCAGCTTCTTTTGGTCATACGAATTCTGGAGAGATGATGTTTGTGGCATATATTGTAAGATATTGCATTATAAGAGAATTTACTTGCATGCTCAAAGTACAATGATCAAATAGAGGTCCAAATTTGAAATATCGCGTTGAGGCCAACACCTAACTTCACATGTTCCACGTTCCATTACGATTTCAACAAAATGACTGAACAAAACTATTATTTTTGAAATATGTCTGCCACAGCGGCCATTCAGCATTTTTTCTATGAACAGGGTTCACATGCTTTTCCCAAAAAATAACCTCCATGGTTGTTTTAAATCCTAAAGGGTCAGTAGAGAAAACAGATAATTCATTTTTGGATAAAAGAATGACGACTAAACTGTAGTAACCCTAAATAGGACCAACATTGGACCTGTTCTGGTCCCATTCCAAGTCTGTGTCAAAAGCTGTATAAGGCCAGTACTGATGAAGACTAGTGGGCCAGTATCACTGGGGTTTTCGAGCCGGAATTGGTATATTTATATCAGAATATACGTTATTTGTCTTTAATGATTTTAATGTGTGTGTGCTTTCATATCAATTTGAATACCAGTACGTATTTATTAACAAACTAATTTCCTATGCTTGTTTTGGAATAAAAATAAATGAGTTATACATGAAATTATAATTGAGGATGTAAATTATAGCAGCAGGTGACACCACTTCCAAGATATCATCATCCTCAGCAGAATATCTCGGACTGCCTGATGGGACTGTGTCAACTGTAGACACGTTGCAGACCTCCACAAATGAACGATGAAATGAGAGAAGAACCAGTGACATCATACCAACAACGTCAGAAGCTTCTACAGATGCCAAAAGAAGATCATGGACAGGAGAAGCCACTTATTGGATTCGTTCTTACAAAACACCGCCATCATCTTTGTCATCATCATTTGATATAGCAAATGGAGCTTCGTCATCGGTTCATATTTCTTCAAAGTTGACAACCATATCTCTGACAGCAGATTTAACCAGATCAATTATCCAGTCCAAAAAAACATCATTGTCGATGTCACCAGTGATACCAATGTCTTCTGCACCATCAACATTGATCGAAACGTCCGTGATTATGATACCTATATCAAGAATTACGCAGTCAACAGGAACGTCGTCCATCAGCACAACAACATCTGCAACGTTTCCTACAACACTAGAACCCATATCAACAACCAGAGAATCCAACAAGACGATAATCAGCGAGCTACTTCACCGAACTGAACGGCCACTCCGCACTGTGAGCGAAAAGTGCACATGTTTTTGCAAGAACAAACACAGAGTCGACACCCTAGAAGAAAACGTCCAAATAAAAATGAAAGAAAAGATTCGGTCGAACCTGATAGTCAACACAAAAACGTTAACTAAGGCAATCATTAAAAGAACATGTGCTACAGATGCGAGACCGTCAGCACACCAAATTGGCTGGTTTGGAATTGTGTTGATGATCATACCTGTGCTAATTGTTCTTGGAACAGACATAATAAACTTTCTTTCTCCAATGTTCAAAGCCAGACAGAAGCCAAGATTGTAAATACCTGACTCTGATATGATATTGAGATATCTCTGGTAATCGTTGGTTGAACACAATATCACTGTCAGAGAGATGTTACGTTCCATCAACGTATCAATGGCAATTTTATTCATATAATTCTACATTTCCTTACACAAAAGACTGTTGGTTACATACTTATTTAACCCTCTGGATGCCTGTTTTTTTTCTGACGCACATTTTCCTGAGATCGAAAGAGTGAAAGTTATGCGAGAATTGCACGCGGCACTGGGTCTACCTCTGGCTATAAAATTACGCAGAGATGGAGAATATTAAATTTCCTATCTGGTGGTGTAAATTTAACTGCAAATATTAAACCGGTGTTAAAAAAGACACTTCTAAGTGTTGTCCGAGAATTTATTCTGCGTTGAAAAACAGGAAATTTCTCCGCTTTTTATCGTACAGCCTAAAAGATTAATGCACTCACGAGATAAGAGCATATTCTAGTATTACCTTCCCGTTCAGGGTATATTATGTATTTGCCGACTAGTCGATACTGGTTTTATGTGATAATAAACATATGAGGTGATATGTTATATACTAGTAGATCATATTTCATGTTGACAATATATTTTGTCTCTCGATTATGAAACAATGGTGTGGTACCAGTGAACTTTAACTATAACTAGTGAATTAGAATTAGTGGCTAAGGAATTCATTCATCACAAGGACCAGAATTAATTCTATTTCATACGTCATTAGTCCATGACACTTTGCCCACTGAATCCTTCTTGATGTCCTTTAACTGGTGGCTGAAATGGTGTTGATAAATCATCACTGCATGTTTGTCTAAACTATGTGTTTTCTCCCATAAAGTATCCTTGTGATTTAAGTATATTCATGAACATCTGATTTGTCAATTAGGTTAGGCAAACTGATCGACGGATAGTTGTCACTTGTCACACCAGTAAAAACATGTATGTACATAGCTACAGTCAGGTGCATTCTTTCCCTTTTTTTAATTACTTATGAAATATTGTCTTTGAAAGATGAGTTATCGTATTAAAATAATGATATGTGAAACGTTTTACTATAAGATATAAACATATTTCATAGAATGTTTCTGAAAAGTATGATAGATCCCAAAAATAATCTTCCATTTAAGTCTCTGTTTAAGTCTTCAATAAAACATGTAACATTTGCCATTTCAGTTTTCGTTGTTATTTTGCCCCCAACCACCCATAAGTGGTAGAAAATATCAACAAGCCCTGGAATTATTGTTAGTGCAAGAATAGTCACAGGATATTGTCAAATGTTGAATGTCTTGAAAGAACCTTGTGTGTTGGAAAAAGGTAGGAATTGGATGTTTCCAAAGAGGTATCCAAACTGCACTTGATAAGAAAATTAGAACAAAAATCGGGTCGAAAAGGTCTCCAATCGCCCTCAAGTCTCTCTTATATAGGAACAGACAGCCACTGATTCTGCTGTTGATGCATGACCACGGCTGCACTTGAATTGGTTGCCAGCACTTCAGTCATTTCCTGCCACTGACAATGTCAAAAATATATTTATACTAAAATTACTTACACTTAGGAAAATGGTTATCAAAATAAGATGTATTATATTTTCATTACGCCTGATATTGTGCGAGGTGTGTGCCATTCAACACAAGCGAAAAGGGCTATGGTGACAATAATGGCTGTGTTGTATAACTATAAACATATTTGATAGAATACTTGTAAAAAATATATTCTAAAGTTGTTCGACATACGGTCCTGAAATGTGCTGCTTTAAATACAGAGGTAATATTGAAAAAAATCTTTGTTTTTCAAAATTTTCATTGGAGTTTTATGAATATACATGGTGTTTTTACTGCAGAGATAATATTGAAAAGAATTAATCATTGCTTTTCAAAACTTTCGCTGGAGTTTCTAAATATTCAACAAATATTGCCATAATTGGAGACCGTATTACAGAAAAGTGTGAGGATCATGAATCTCAAAACTCTCAAAATAATATTGCCCAATCTCCCTCTTCAGAGAGCTATGCAAGTTTTAATTGTTGCATTGTGAGCATAAAGATTGGAAGAGGGTAACCCACAGTTGGCTTGCCCTCATATCGCCTACACCTCATATCGCCTACACCTCATATAGCCTACACCCCATATGGCCTACAATAATTATAATGGTCAGTTGTACCACCCCTATCATAACAATGGGTTTTACCCAACTGGCTATACATGCATCTTTGATCAACCATACATGTTTTGATTGTATAAACATGACTTACTTATCTTCTTCTTTGATCAACCATACATGTTTTGATTGTATAAACATAAAATTAGACTGAAGCTACACCTCGCAACTGGACGAAAAACTGTGATGCAGTTTCTAGTTAGACACTTGGTGAAATTACAGTAATTGTTATGTGACTGATGAATTAGTGTATCACACATGTACTTGATTAACATATGTGTCTGATGATGATGATGATGATGATGATGATGATGATATTGATGTATGTGGAATATATGACCTTATTAAAGTGTAAATCATCAGCGCAAGGGTTTATTTTTCTTTAGTTGTTGAAATATATGAAGTATACCTCATTAGTGGAAGAGTTCACTTTTCTAAAGGTATAACAGCATTTATGTGATGTGCAGTCAACCCTAAATTTGTGTTGATAAGGGCGTAGGCGAAATGGGGTGTAGGCGATATGAGGTCAGGCCCCACAGTTGCATGTAGGCTGAGACATAGGGGAATCTTCTTGGACCATGTCATTTTATGTTTATTATGCTCAACCAGGTTGTTTTTCCTTCTTTCATGGTATTTGGGAAAAGATTTATCCGAAGATGGTGTTCATAATATTTACAATGTTTTTTTGTATCACCCTGACTCGATTCCAAACATGGGAACAATGTGTGTGGACCCTCAATGATTCTCACATCGCTGGTTCACAACTCCGCCCTTCCCTCACATACTTGTATAACTGCTACCGTGTTTGACGTAATAAGCACCCAGGGCGCTCTCAAAATTAGAAATAGGGGGCTCTTATAAGAATAAAATAAAAATAAAAATAAAATATCATAAAAAAACAGAGTTGAAAGATTGTAAATTTCGTGGTTTATGCTGACAGACTGTAATGATGCAAAAGAAAAGTATGTGTGTATCATACACGACAGATATATTTTCCAAAATTTAATTGCCCATAATTAAGGGTGTATATGACACACGAGTGGGTATTATACACGAATCAATATGTCTTGTGTACATTGATCAATTGGAAGGGGTGCTAATTGGGATTGTTCACTAGCCAATATATCAGCAAATATCGCCGTGGGCGCTTATTAGAGCGGGGCGCTTATTACGTCGAGTACGGTAATTGGATTATATATACATGGGTTGGTCCGGTCATTCACTATTGTACATATACAGTAAAACAGACATATGTTCGATGCGTGACACACTTTATTATGACATATGTACAAGTACTTTAAAGTTGGAGTTCCACAATTGCTATGGATTTACATGTAGGTGCACAAAGCAGGGACATTATGAAGCCGTGACACTATGTAACAAGTGAGTAACCAGGGGAGATAACTGCGTCTAACAAGCGATGCATATAGGGAGGCATTGTGTAGCTGTTGTGTATCTGCTGTCAATTCACTGCTATATTCTATCACATGTTGGAGAGATTCGTGGAATGACAGCAAAAATGTTAATTCTTGACATATCTTCAAAATGAGAATTTTGTTATTTCCCCAAAAGGGAATGTCAGTGCAGTATTTAATATGATTTCTGTTTATCAACCATCAATATTATCAAGTGGAAGTGGTTAGGCGTCCTTTTTCATGAATACTGAAGGGTCACTATCCGGTTAAGCTATACTCCTGATGGGTGGACGTGCAGTTTGTTATACTAAGTGCAGGTTTATATAAGTGGCTATTATGCAAATGTTCTGAGTATTTATTAAAAAAACATATAAAGGTCAACCACTGAATGTCTTACAACGTTATTTGAACATCCCTGTACAAAGACGCTTTAACCATCTACAGTAAAGGGGAGACAATCTGCCATGTGCCTACCAGGTGTTACAGATGGGTTTGTTCCTGATAAACTGTTTTACAATGTCGTATGCCAATATAAAAAATAGATTATATAAAAAAGCGCCCTTCCTTCTTGTAATGTGGACTGGAATCTAGGAATCTGTGAGACTGATGACGCCTCTCACATCGATGCTTATTACAATAAAGAATTATCACAAGACACAAAGTCATGCAACGTCTTGCCATATTCCCGTGAAGACAATAGTAAGATGGAGCTTTAAAATGTCATCTTCTGACACAGATACGTGCAGTGTCCTCCTCCTTCATGGCGGTGTGACGTGATTGATGAGGATTCAGTATTGCAGCTCTATCCGCTTCCAGCTGAAATAGATAATGTCACCGTGTTATGACGTGAAACAAGGACATCCAACGGTTGATAATGCATAGCTACGATACATAGGCCATTTGAACATACCTGGTCTGTTTAATAACGTCATCTCAAAGATTTCTGCAAATGCTAATTTGACGTTTTCAGCGGTTCAAAAAAGGGCCCTTATCCTATTTCGTCCTTTCATCGTGGATCGATGCTCATGATATCAATCACTGGAATGCCTGGTCCAGACTCGGTTATTTACAGACCGCCGTCATATAGCTGGAATATTGCTGAGTGCGGCGTCAAACAACAAACCAACAACAACAATACACGCTTATTCGTTCAGCTCCCTATCAGCGTTAGTCTGAGTTACGGTAGATGAACATGTTAAATTGGTAGATACGTACATATGGCGTATACAAACGACAAATTGAGTCGGGTATAACAAATTCGAGATCTCTCATATTATGAATAAACTGTTATTACGATACATGTAGCTGGGAAAATGCAAACTGGTTAGGACTATTGACTGTGAGGAATTTCTGTTTATAGATGTGATATGAAAAGGAGTTCGTGACAGGCGCATTTCGCTGTGCAGGTTTGCTCCCCTAGGGCGTGAGAGAAATCTATGATCGATCCTAGGTTCGCTATGATAATGTTTTAAGTTTGTCCGCATCATGCCCGTACGCAAGGACTTCACCAACGTGTAAGACCTGCATCTGCCCGTGAAGATCCGGGGTAGAATAGGTCTTCAGCAACCCATACTTGCCGTAAAAGGCGACTATGCTTGTCGTAAGAGGCGACTATGTCATCCAATTGCGTGGATCGATGCACGTGATATTAATCACTGGATTGCCTTGTCCAGACTCTATTATTTACAGACCGCCGTCAGATAGCTGGAATATTGCTGAGTGCGGCGTTAAATAACAACACAAACAACGCTTCCGGCTTTATTTCCATTTCAAGCTGACACGCCAAACAAAAATATTGATCAGAGCAGCCTCAAACCAAACTCAAAATCGCCGATGCATGTCCATCAATCTGTCGTTTATCGTACTGGGCGATTTAATTGAATCGGGTGTTCAAGCTTGGTGACTTGGTTGTTTAGCATACAACATGGGACGTTGTTCATAATATCAACCACATGTTTGGTGTGGTCAAAAACTCAAATATGCTCGAATGACAATTCTTAGACAAGACAGGAACTGTGAGTCATATAAATACCGAGAGTGTATCATGGTATAACAGTATAAACAAAATGGATATACATAATCAGATCGAATCTGAAATTCGAACCAACGACCATATAACATATTTGAGGGATGCAACTCTGCATCTTATTAGATATTTGTGGCACCTGAGATGACCAGGTAACCGTGTCCTTCTTCCCCTGAAATATTTGTTTCTTTTTTGTTTAACGCCGCACTCAGCAACATTCCAGCTTTATGACGGCGGTCTGTGAATAATAGAATCTGAACCAGACAATCCAGTGAGTGACACCATGAGCATCGATCCACGCAATATATATGCGATGACATGTATCAACCAAGTCAGCGAGTCTGACCACCCGATCCCGTCAGTCGCCTCTTACGACAAGCATAGGTTGCTGAAGACCTATTCTACCCCGGATCTTCACGGGACCCCCCTGAAATACATGTATCAGCTTACAAGCTACTCCGTGCATCTGATAGCCCCTGTTCATTGCCCTCTTCTTCTTGATGCTTGAGCCGCGACATATGGAGTCGTACAGCAACACGGCTACAACGAGGAGCAGTAAGATGCCAACAGCAGCGATTGCCCCATAGTTAGCCTCATCACTGATTCCACTACCGTTGTCCGCCATAGTCACTGGAACAAGACATAATTATATAACCTTCATGAAAAACGCCACGACATGCTGTTTGCATGTCTTGTTGGTTTGTTTGTTGTTTAACGTCACACTCCGCAATATTCCAGCTCTATGAAGGCGGTCTTTAAATAATCGTTTGGGGACCAGACAATCTAGTGATTGACATCATGAGCATCGATCCATTCAATCAACCAAATTTTAACATTTGAAACAACTGACTATGCCCTTACCATGCCCTAAAATTAACGGTTTATCATATTTAAAAAACTGAAAGTTCGCGCAATATTATCACATGCGTCGTTGTATTCTTTGCATATTACTACGCATACAGCTTTACGGCACCACAAACAAAAAGTGTATACGTAATTATCAACTGATACATTTGTCTGTGGATGAGTTGGTGTGTTTGGACGTGAGGGGATGTGTGTGGATGGCAGTTGGTGTGTTTGGACGTGTGGGGATGTGTGTGGACGTGTGTGAATGTGTGTGGATGGGAGTTGGTGTGTGTGGTCGTGAGGTCATGTGTGTGGATGGGAGTTGGTGTGTGTGGACGTTAGGGGATGTGTATAGACGTGTGGGGATGTGTGTGGATGGGAGTTGGTGTGTGTGGACGTTAGGGGATGTGTATAGACGTGTGGGGATGTGTGTGGATGGGAGTTGGTGTGTGTGGACGTGAGGGGATGGAATTGGTGTATGTGGACGTGTGTGAATGTGTGTGGTTGGGAGTTGGTGTGTGTGGACGTGTTGGGATGTGTGTGGATGGGAGTTGGTGTGTGTGGACGTGAGGGAATGTGTGTGGATGGGAGTTGGTGTGTGTGGACGTGAGGGGATGTGTGTGAATGGGAGTTGGTGTGTGTGGACGTGTTGGGATGTGTGTGGATGGGAGTTGGTGTGTGTAGACGTGTGGGGATGTGTGTGAATGGGAGTTGGTGTGTGTGGACGTGTTGGGATGTGTGTGGATGGGAGTTGGTGTGTGTAGACGTGTGGGGATGTGTGTGGATGGGAGTTGGTGTGTGTAGACGTGTGGGGATGTGTGTGGATGGGAGTTGGTGTGTGTGGACGTGAGGGGATGTGTGTGGTTGGGAGTTGGTGTGTGTGGACGTGTTGGGATGTGTGTGGATGGGAGTTGGTGTGTGTAGACGTGAGGGGATGTGTGTGGATGGGAGGGGTGTGTGTGGACGTGAGGGGATGTGTGTGGATGGGAGGGGGGGGGGGGGGGTGTGGACGTGAGGGGATGTGTGTGGATGGGAGTTGGTGTGTGTGGACGTGTTGGGATGTGTGTGAATGGGAGTTGGTGTGTGTGGACGTGTTGGGATGTGTGTGGATGGGAGTTGGTGTGTTTGGACGTGTTGGGATGTGTGTGGATGGGAGTTGGTGTGTGTGGACGTGTTTGGATGTGTGTGGATGGGAGTTGGTGTGTTTGGACGTGTGGGGATATGTGTGGACGTGTGTGAATGTGTGTGGATGGGAGTTGGTGTGTGTGGTCGTGAGGTCATATGTGTGGATGGGAGTTGGTGTGTGTGGACGTTAGGGGATGTGTGTGGACGCGTGGGGATGTGTGTGGATGGGAGTTGGTGTGTGTGGACGTTAGGGGATGTGTGTAGACGTGTGGGGATGTGTGTGGATGGGAGTTGGTATGTTTGGACGTGAGGGGATGTGTGTGGATGGGAGTTGGTGTGTGTGGACGTGAGGGGATGTGTGCGGATTGGAGTTGGTGTGTGTGGACGTGTGTGGATGTGTGTGGAAGTGAGGTGATGTGTGTGGATGGGAGTTGGTGTGTATGGACGTGAGGGGATATGTGTGGATGGGAGTTGATATATTTGGACGAGTGTGGATGTGAATTGTTGTGTGTGGATATGAGTTATATGGAGTTATAGGATATATGAATGTGTCTCTCGCAGACATTGACACAGCAACACCGTGTCATCACTCTAAACCAAATCCTAATGTACTCATATAGAGCTGAAACTGTGTTTTCACATGCCATAAACACTACTAAGACGCGCCCGGGAGCAGTGAGGCGGATCCAGGTTTAGAGCAGTTCAACGGGGACATGCACAACTTAAGCCATACTATGTGACCTTTTGACGCTTTGAAATATACGAGTCGACTGGGTAATTGTTAAGAAGCTACACAAAGACACTGTATGACTCTAACATTCACTGGCATATCTTTATCCCAGGTCTACCTTTTTAGCCTTAGAAGTAGATGTATTGTAGTGGCTGTGTGACATATAGCAATACAATGGGGGAAGGAATAAGTGACACAGTGGTCTGTCATCCCAACCCCACAACCCTTCTCCAAAACCGTAAAACTTCCTCGGACAGTTCCATCAATGTCAAGGCGGTATGTTATTCTCGGATATGGACCAGACAAACAGTGACTGAAAATGACCTCCGCCATCGGGACCGGATGACACGATATCCGCCAAGTCTCAGCCCTTGACCGCCTGAACCTATGTATTCTACTCTTTAACTGAGACCTATTCTAACCCTGGCTCGCCACTGGGAATCACTGTCATACATTGCCCTTCATCACTAAGACATCATTCAAAATATGTCTAACTCCTACTGACAACCTATTTGACACCCAACTGACAATCAAATTGAACAGTGAGTATATGGTCTGGCTGTTTTACAAACAACTTTGATTTCACAATAACCGTATTCGACGTAATACGCGCCCAGGGCGCTCTCAAAATTAGAAATAGGGGGCTCTTATTAGAATATGTTGAAAGATAAGTTTCGTGGTTTATGCTGGCAGCCTGAAATGTTTAAATAAGACAGATATATTTTTCCAGAATTAAATTGCCCATAATTAAGGGTGCATATAACACACGAGTGCGTCAGAAATAAGTCTTTTGTACATTGATCAATCGGAAGGGGTGCTAATTGGGATTGTTCACTAGCCAATATATTAGAGAGGGGCGCTTATTACGTCGACTACGGTAATATAATTGGCACTGGAAACGGTACATTACTAATATCATTAATTGCTTCCCAGTTTTAACGTGTATTAGGGGCCGTGGCTAGCCTATTGGTTTAAGCGTTCGCTCGTCATGCTGAAGACCGGGGTTCGATTTCTCTCATGGGTAAAATGTGTGAAGCCAATTTCTGGTGCCCCGTCCTGATATTGCGGGAATATTGCTAAACAACATTCAATCAGAAACACTTAACTTATACATGACAACATATGCACATGTTAATATGGAACATGCGGACAAGACTTGCCTGTCATCACACTGTAAGAAAAGTCAGATGTTTGTGAAAAGAAATGCGCACATATACTACTGTCGTTTTAACAAAGGGACTTGCAATGGGATTGCGTTATAGTGTGTGAATATTTCACAACTATAGACAGGTTCCGCGTAGATGTATCCTGGTACAGAATGCTAAGTGACATGAGTGATTGAGGGGCACGAAAATGTCAGCCTTGTGTGACTAATGGCTTGTATTGACGTAGACGTCGGTTGTCGACAGGCGGACTGACCTCAATAGCGCATACGTTTGTTAAGTTGAGACCATTTTCATGTACTTCATGTCTTGTCTTGTTAGATGCATCAACGTATTCGTGTACGAGGTGTACACAGTTGACAAGAAGTTTGAAGCTATGCTAAACAAGTATCAAGGATTTTAAAAACTATAGATTTTAGCTACACGTGTTAAAAGATAATGTTTAAACATTCGTCGGGTACACCACTGTTTACTTACAAGATGTATGCATGTAGAAAGATCATTGTGTAATGATGCAGTAAATATATTGATTCGTTACTTCCTTTAACACATATATTAATACATTGTAGCGTATCAGTATAAGCAAATATGCACAGATCAAGAATAATCGTTCACATATCTCCGTTGCAATAGATTTGTAAACGCCCATGGTTAAGCTGTATTCGAATGTGAGGCTGTTGCAATGGCGTTTGACAGACCCTGTAACGGAAGCCTTATCTCGTCTATATCGTACCTGTCGCAGGTAAGACCATAGTAACATATAAGTACAAACAACGATTAACACACAACCTCAACATTTGGTTAAACTCACCTGATAGCGAATAATACGAAAGTCCAAGTAACTTGTGCTGGAAGGAGGTGTGAGGCAAGGTGTGTCTCTCGGACCCGTCCGTTTACTGATCAGGTGTACTTTCAAAACCACTCAAGCAGAAACACCCCGATATAGCATGCCCTCGGCCGTCTTTGCAGTTTAGGCAAACACACAAAGCTTTCCATCCGGGTCTCCGTCATACAGTAAACATAACCCGTCTTACTTGACTGGGGGCCTTATTGTATTGTTCGTGTACACCACCTGGATGGGTGTGTGGAAACACGTACTTGTAGCGAGTAGCTCATCGCGTTTGACATGTCGGATTCATGATAATAGACACAAGTCATAATAATATCAGAGACATGTAGTGCACAGATTGAGGTGCAGTTACTATTTTTATACGGTGTGGCCCGCGGAGTCGGTGATAAAGATGTTTATGTTTCTATTCCTGAATAGTGAATGCGCTTGTGGAATGTGTGTCTACCTTGAAACAATGGCGGGGCTAGAGCTGTCGCAGTGTGAGGCGGTGTGTATTCTTGAATGTGTATACTCGAGATCAGGGGCCGCAATACCCTGTGAGTGAGTATAGGTTTACGCCCAATGTATATTCTTATTTGAATATTCACGTCGGGGGACACAAGAAATGTGCTTCACACATTGTAGCTCTGTGCGGAACCCGGCCTTTTGGAGGAGTAAACGCTACAACCACCACCACCAAAAAAACAACATGCGAAGCACATACGTTGTATTGTTGAAGTAATGTAAATACCAATTTCATTTATACAGTCACAATTAATGACGTAATATATAATGATGTCACAACCAATTGTTTCTGAAGCCGGCATGTCCCTGTTAATATCTTGACATGGTTTTCAATATCGAGAGTTTAATACTGCCTCTCTGGTGATATGTATTCTTTCAACATATTATCATATTTGTCCAACCCATGACAAGCTGATGTCATGTTTTTTTCTGTAACAATTGTAGAATCATTAACAACAAAACACAATTAGTATACTTTGCTCTAAAAAAACAAAATAATTTTCTAAAGGGAGTTCCAGTTATATATAAACATAAAGTATAGGCACATTTTGTCATCTATCCAATTTTGTGTCTGTACGTGAAGCGCTCTTGTCAAGTAATGCATGACATGTATACTTGTAGAATAGACCGATGACCCCTTTACTTGAATATAAACAAAATCATCTGGTGCTGTGAAATTATCTGTATTTTGCACAGTTTGATTTCTGATGTTTTGTGTCAAGGTGTTGGTTGGAGTGAGTGAGTGATTATGGTTTTACGCCGCTCTTAGCAATATTCCAGAACATCACGGCGGGGGACACCAGAAATTAGCTTCACACATTGTACCCATGTAGCGAATCAAACCCTGGTCTTCGGCGTGACGAGCGAACGCTTTAAGCACAAGGCTACCCTACCGCCCCGGCTGGAAAACCTGCCTCGCGTCCAACAGAAAATATATTCATCTGCATATGGAAATATGTTGACCGGAACATCGTTTTTAGCCTAGTTTGGATAAATTAGTAATTTGGGCAGGATTTCAGTTATATCACGGCTTGATTCGTGAGGAAAACCCGAAGTGATGAAAAGGTCATCTCCCATTTGTTAGACACCCCATTTGTCAGACAGCTAAAAACAACAACGTTTATGGTTGAGGGTACATCAGGTGTGTCACACTATCATCGAATTCTGACACGCTCAATGAAAAGCAGAACGTACTGTGGCGCTTTAGACGGCAGGGCTATTTTGGCCCCCTGTGATAAATGGTGCTTTTTGTGAAAGCGTAAATTTATAAACGAAATGACAGTTAACGGCAGTAAAGCTCTAACAGTGTGGTTTAAATTGTCAAACTGCCCCACGACTGAACTTTAATTTATTTGTGAAGATGTAACACTCTCAAAAACAATGTGATGACATGGGTTTAGTCTTGGACGAATATCTGGGCCCAAGCATAAGACGCTCGGAATGGTAGAGCGTCCGCCCGGAGAGCGGAAGGTCCGGGGTTCGATCCCCAGCCGCGTCATACCAAAAGACGTTAAAAGATGTTACTTGTTGTTACCCCGTCTGGCGCTCGGCATTAAGGGGCTAAAACAAGGACTGGTCGGCTCGGAATCAATATACTGTGTCTGAGTGGGGTATTCATGTTAAACTGCGGCATGGTATCTCAGTGTGCTAGCACTATAAATCGGCATCAGTCCGGACTAGTACAAGCAGCCACACACTCATACACATGCATGCACGTCGCTATATAAGTGCAATAATCTTGGACGCGACGTTAAACCCCATTTCACCTCACCTCACCCCACCAAGCATAAGCTTAACCCTCGTATACTGTTGACTATTTAGATGAGTGTTTGCCCTGTGGTTTATGTGAGGTTGATTTACATAAACCCCTCCGGCGATGTCTGACACTGCACGGTTAGATCAGACGCAGCACCAGATAGGGTTGAATATGGATTGATAGATACGAAAATATAGAGCAGCAACAGACACCCATATTGTCTTGCGGCTAAAACAGAGAAGTGGGTGAGTGAATATGGTTTGACGCCGCTTTTAGCAATATTCCAGCAATATCACGGACACCAGAAATGATCTTTACACATTGAACCAATGTGGGAAATCGAACCCGGGTCTTCGGCGTGACCAGCAAACGCTTGAACTACTCGGCTACCACAAAGACCGAGAAACTGAGGAACACATGTACACCATCCCCCATATAATTATTAAGACACACCAATTTTTATAACGTACTTGGCGTTTAAAGTTTGTACATCTTAAAAATTCTGTTATTTGCGTTAGTAACGTAGCGTAAAAATATTGTCCCCCTGTGTGACACGTAATCCTATCATAATCGATGTTATTATCATCAACCAGTGATTTTAAGCCAACTCAATACCGAATATTTTTTAATATTGGCTAGTATTATGCACCAGTAGCCCGTGTTTTAAAACTGTATACGTGATATTGTTATGCTCAAATATGTTTCATAAGTTGTTTTAAAAATAGTATGCTCAAATATGTTTCATGAATTGTTTTTAAATATAACTTTTGCATAAATGACTCAATTGTGAATAAATTAACTTGGTCTCGTCGCTATATGGCTGAAATAATGCCGATGTACCGTTACATTGTAACTCACTCACTCACTCACTGTTATTTGAAGAACCATGAACTACAATTCCTCAGCCATATAAACATACGAATGTATGTGCTTGCGTGCGTGCGCGCGCGTGTATGCGTTGGTGCAAGTGTTTATTTTATGTTATCTCTTTAGTAAGTTGAGTCAAAGTGTGCGCGTATTACCTTCACTGGTAATCTTACGTGTTTAGTGCGGAAGCAAAGATTTGAATTGGAGTGAGTGAGTATGGTTTAACGCCGCTTTTAACAATATTCCAGCAATATCACGGCGGGGGACACCAGAAAAGGGCTTCACACATTGTACCATGTTGTCGAACCGGGGTCTTCGGATCTCCGGCGTGACGAGCGAACGCTTTAACCACTAGGCTACCCGACCGCCCCGATTTGAATTGAAACCGGAAGATAGTAAGGCAATCAGCGTTAGGTTTGTCTGGATTAAATGTCAATATTTCAGCTTCGTTGAAGTGTGATCACATCTTGTTTACATACTGTGCATCCCCGCCGTACACAATGCCATGTGCCTTGAAAATATCTTGGGCAGAAGAAGGGACAATAGATTTTAGAGCAACTTCGTTCAACGAGACCATTGCACCAACCGTAACGATGTTTCACATATTAGAGTTGCTCCCCTTCGATAACGACAGTGCGACACATTACCCCTCATTCCATTCGTGACCAACTCGTGTTATTCCGGGATAAGCCGAATAGCGATCTTCTTGCAGGTTACGGAAAGGGGCGAGTGGTGACGAATGCTTACCACTGTGTGAACTACAATGCTACAGAACATTTTGAGACATTACAATACTGCAGTACAACAATGCGAGACACTACAGCATTGTTTGTTTGTTGTTTAACGGCGCACTCAGCAATATTCCAGTTATATGACGGCGGTCTCTAGGTAAAAGAGTCTGGACCAGACATTCCAGTGATTGACATCATGAGCATCGATCCACGCAATTGGGATCGATGACATGCATCAAACCAAGTCAGCGAGCCTGACCACCCAATCCCGTTAGTCGCTCTTACGACAAGCATAGTCGCCCTTTAACGGCAAACATGGGTTCCTGAAGACCTGTTCTACCCCGGATCTTCACGGGCCAACTACAGCATTGAGACATATTTTAACACTGAGACAAACTACAACATACAGCATTGTGAGGAACAACACAGTCCTCATTCTCGTCGTTACTTGCTACTTCCCTTTGGTACAGAATAGATATACATGTGTACTTACGAATATACGGGGGGCACGGTCGGCCCAGTCGTCTAAGGCGCCGGGATTCGCTGTGCAGAGTTGCGTCCCTTGGGCACGCCAGAAACCTATGATTGTGGGTTCGAATCCCGGTTCCTCCCGATTATGTTTCTAGGTTTGTCAGCACCATACCCGTGCTCGTGGGTTTCACCGAAGTGGTAAACGTCTGAGACCTGCATCACTTCGGGCTTTCCTCCCACATTAAGCTGACACGCCGCGGTATAACTGTAATACTGTTAAAAGCGGCGTTAAACCAAACCAAACTCACTCACTCACGAATATTACACATTAAAATCGTCCAAGTTCAACCTGTTATTTTGTCCTTATGTATATAACACATAAGCATGTGAGTAACATGATGACATACACACTGCCAATATACATAAACAACATTGACACATCGACGTGGTAAGTTATATACATCATTTGAGAAAAGTATTTATAGCAATCTTAGAACCATATTCAAGATTCAAGATTCAAGATATTATTCAGTTTTACAGGCCTCGGGCCTAAAGTACATATGAATATAATATAAGAGATAGATAGCCACCAATAGAAAATACAATATAAGTTTTCCTACTGAGGATGAATTCCATGTTTTATTAGTATGAGATAAGTATGAACATCTTGGAGGAAAGTAAATGCCGATGTTTAACAATGGGCATAAAAACAAGATGTTAATGATCAGTCTTACTAAATCCAACAACACTGATGTTATACGTTCATTAGCCATATTGTTGAAACATATATTCTCTGTCAGATAGTTTTTATATATCATGTATATCACGTGACTAAAAAAATGAAACTGAAAATGTCAACTGTACAATGGGCCATGTGGTCTTATATATCGAAAAAAACAAAATATATATCTGAACAATGACCTATTGGAGAAATTATAAATACCCATAAACAAAACCGCGTGATACAAACATTGCTCACAAATTGTAAAGGCTGGGAGATTTATGAGAGCTTCAAATCTTTCAAGCAAAGAGTTATCTCCCTTCAAATCAAGTTTAAAACATACAAATCTCATTAAAATCAGATCTTAGTTCTCGCTACCGCCAAACAAAGATCTGAGGACATCCCATTACGGGTCACGTCAGACCGACCTTGCGCGAACTTTGACCGACCAATGGAATGACCAATCAGAAGGCAGCTTTCTCGTCCTTTACGGCACTAATTTCAAATTGGCAACCATATTTTGAAAAATTCTCGATGACAAATTTGAAACATGAACAAAAGAATATTCTGGAATGGCTAATAGATGGTCTAGATTGTATGGATTCAGTCGTTAAACCCGTAACTATCGTTCTGAGTTAACGTTTTCGAGGTTGCATGATCAGAAATCACATTCCAACTGTCACTTTCATTATCTGGTAAGCGATGCTCTGATTGGTCGGATGAAAGGTCGTTCTGACGTGTTCCTTATGGGATGTCCTTAGATCTTTGTTTAGCGGTAGCGAGAACTGAGGTCTGATTTTAATGAGATTAAAAACATACATTTGTGAGAGGTACATCAAACAGCTACAACACAAAAAAACGTATTTACAAAACCATCATTTACAAAAATATCAAATATTAAAAATTACGAAGTATTTATACACCATGAACCTTCACACATTAGGATTCTTCTTAACTGCATCATAATCCACAACTGAGATACTTTCCAGGAAGGCATTTGCAAAAAGCAATAAACCCAGCCGTATGGAAATGATATTATGGCCTCAGTACATAGCATCCAAGGAAACAACTTCTACAACCAGTTAACTACCAGCCTTAACAAACATACACATAGCTCCCCAATGTTCCAGACCGGTGAAGGTCCGGGTTAGAATTGGTCTTCAGCAACCCATGCTTGTCGAAAGAGGCGACTATGCTTGTCATAAGAGGCGACTAACGGGATCGAGTTGTCAGGTTAGCTGACTTATCATCGTATCCCAATTTGATCAATGTTCATGATGTCAATCACTAGCTAGATTGTCTTGTCCAGGCTCAATTATTTCCAGACCGTCGTCATATAGTTGGAATATTGCTGAGTGCGGCGTAAAAGAACAAACAAACACACTTAATGTTCCAACATATTGTCAAATATATTAAAGTGTTGCTCATTTTGTTCATATTTTTTTTCTGTTTATGGATCTTTGGAACCCAATGTTCACAAATATGAAATACAATTAAAATTAGGACAGTATAATTTCCTTTCGACAAACACATTAATATTTTTCATTTAAAAAGAGAAATAGTATAGCTGGTAGAGATCAATGTCGAGGCCGGTAAAGTAGATAGGGCGATTATGTCTATACGTACTGTTACCGTTGCTTACTTGATCATGGAGGTTTGCTTTGGTATTTTTAAAACTGATCATTGCTTGGGGTTTTGACCCCCCGACTATACTATAAAGTGGCCTGAGAGAGAATATATGCTAGACAACTTCTTTATTATAAAATGTATTTATTATGGGTTAAATACGGCATGAGGCTGCCTGCCGCAGCTGGGTATATTGCGCGTGAAAGTGGTGTCACAAAGTCACGTGTTTACACTGATTGTGTTGAGCTATTCGAGGTTTTCGAGCAGATTTTCGAGCATACTTTCAATCTTGTTCTAATGTTCAACAGATAACTTCACCGTCATCCCACCTCGAAGCTTCCGAGGAAATTCAGCCTGACAGACCAAGGGATACTGTTGAAGGTTACGAAACTTTTCAATTGTTTAATGAATATATGGATTGCAAACTAAACATATTTAAACGTGATTGTATTGAGGAATCAGAACAAAGATCGCTTTCTGCCTTAAAAGGAACTCCCAAAGATTCTGAGATACCGTTCCTTAGATTCAAAGAAAATCAGTTGCAATATAAATTCAGACATCATAAGTATTCTGAAAGTTCAGATTCCCTTGAGAGTCTTGCTTCAGATATCAACAAGCGAACCAAGCATATCAGAGTAGCTGACAGATCCATATCTGGTTGAGCCGTAGTCGCGGAATTAGAGCGAGACGACATTGTCAGAGGAAGAATGTCGCTTCCAGAAGACACTCTTCAGCCGTCGTGCTGCCCTTTACAAGTCCAAAGACAAAGGTTTTCACTGTGCTCCTTCTGCTACTTTCCCTAAAATGTGGCAGGCATTACCCTTGAGATGCGTGCATGGTACATATTCTGTGTTCATTCGCATTAAACGAATTAGAACATAAAAGACATAAACCCTTTCTATATGAAGTCTCTTTGATTGGTATTTAGAAGCAATACACATAAGAGAGAGAATGTATGGCTGTCAACTTCTTTATGTGTAAGAAACACAACGTTTCGTTCCATACCGTTATGTCACGTTCCATTTGCTTCACAACGTTTCGGAGAATATGCTTAGTCCTCCGTGAGGGGCGGTCGGGTAGCCTAGTGGTTAAAACGTCGCTCGTCACGCCGAAGACCCGGGGTCGATTCCCGACATGGGTACATTGTGTGAAGCCCATTTCTGGAGTCCCCCGCCGGAATATTGCTAAAAGCGGCGTAAAACCTGACTAACTCACTCACTTAGTCCTTATTGAATGAAGGAGTTATCATAATTATACCCCGAAACGTTGTGTTCATAATTATAAAACAAAGGTGACATCTATAAATTCTCCCATTTCCTTATTCACAAGGAATAGGAGTCGATTGAACGAGTATGCCTATATCACGAGCATGTGCTTATGAATGACAAACATATGCAAAGGTAAGTCTTTAAAATATTGCGAACATTGAGCAACAGCACGGTCCACTGTTCCGCTGGGAAAACAAGAGAACATATGGTAAAAGTCAAAATAGGGAATTGTATCGGAAAACACATGCGATAATCATCCACGATCATAACGTTTTCTTGAATTCGTGTGAGGAATGTAGGGAGAAAGCCCGAAATATGCCGATCTTAGGCGTTTAGCACTTCGGTGAAACCCACGAGCACGAGTACGGTGCTGACAAACCTAGAAACATAATCGGTGCGAATCGGATTCGAACTCACAATCATAGGTTTCTTTTGTGCCCAATGAACGAAAGTCTTCACAACAAATTGTGGCGCCTTATGGCTCAGTCGAACATTGAGGATTTTTACTGCCGTCCTTGATAGGACCATTCCTGATTAAATTTTCCAAAGTTTGATCACTCGTGGCGGGAAATTCACAAGCAATCAGCTATTGTTTCCAGTCGCATTCGTCCCGATTCTCCCGTTCTTAATCCGATTCTGATCAGATTCGTATCTTCCGCATGGTAAAAAACGACCGAATCTGTCCCGACAGCGTCTCGATTCTCCCGAATGCGACCCGACAGAGATCAGACAGTGACCGGACAGTGAACCTACAAAGACGGTTTCGCATTCGGTAAGATCTGGACGCAATCTGAACTCAATCAACAAGAAAGGGCAATGAACAATCCATGCCCGTTCATTACGACAGCTTCCTGGTCCACAGGACACCGTCCAGACAACATGGGACATTGTTACGATTTTGATCCGATACAGCAGAGTCGGTCACGACATAGTCAAGAGTGTAATCCGACTAGACAAAATCGGCTGAGTTCCCCGTACGCACCATACTGTCGGGATGGCCGACCTCTCTGGACCTTCCCCGATCCGTAGGACTCTGTTACAAACGTATACGACTGCGTTCAGAAAAATGATAGGACATTCCAGATCATTGAGGATAGTAATCCGACTTTTCCCTTTCCGTGTCGTAGCTCTGTCTGACCTTAAACGGGAGCCATAATCGGCACTGTGTGAACCTGGCTTTATACAACCGGGCCACCAAGCTTCCCCGAACAGCCGTACGACCCTGATGGTTTGGTGTTCACTTACTGGTAGGTCATTCTGATTACTTATAACCTCCTTGTTGCTTATCGTGCCCTATGGAATGAAAACCTACTCTGTCTCCAACGTTGACAGGGAGCAGTTTACGCAACACCACGTGACAATATTTATTTTGTGTTCAATACATCAAGATTTCGAGATCCGAAAAGATAAAGGTCATTAACGGTCCAAACCTCACGACGTTCAAACACGAAGAAAAGTTGTTCTCAAGGTTATTTTTTCTACAAGTTGTCGACAATGTTCAACCCATCAGTGAGTATTATTGTCCTCCTGGCAGTCATGAACGTTGTGTCCTGTGACTGTCCCAGCGGCTTCCTGCACCACGACGACTCCTGCTACAGCTTCATCCGTGTCCAAGCCTCGTGGGCGGAGGCGGCCGTGTACTGTCAGGCTATAGGCTCCCACCTGGCCTACGTGGAGACGGATTCCGAACAAACATTCCTGGAAGGTCATCTCAAAAGAGAAGAATCTACTATAACGACTGATGGTGTCTGGATCGGAGGCTTATCGTACCTGACCCAGAACGACTGGCTGTGGGGGTTTCAAGGTGATATCATCGCACCCACCCATTGGGCACCAGGGATGCCGGACAATACCCATCATGATCAGTTCTGTATCATGATGTACAAGGCTACGTCGTTTCTGTGGGACGATGTGGGCTGTTTCACCAAGCAATATTTCATGTGTGAGCTGGCACAAGCTACCTCGCCTGGGATAGTAGTTGGGAAGTGAGGTCAGCTTCTTCGTTAGTCAAAGAAAAAGTAAAACTATTTAACACCTTCAAATAACTATGATTTGACGAACTTATGATTAATAATGTGTAAAACCAGTCGCTCGTCACGCCGAAGACCCGGGTTCGATTTCCCACATGGATACAATATGTGAAGCCTATTTCTGGTATCCCCCGCCGTGATATTGCTGGAATATTACTAAAAGCGGCGTAAAACTATACTCACTGACTCACTCTTCACAGTGTGTCTCTTAATAAGGAATTGCCTGTTGAAAGTTTGATAAGGACAACAAACTGGTTTTTAATTCCCCTGAAGTTCATTCTTTTAAAATTGGATTGGATTTAAAGGGTTTTTTAAAGTATACAGGAAATATGACATTAACACACTGCATGTCAGAGATAATTGAAGCTGATGAACCATCTCACAAACACGTGTTCTTGTCGTAAGATTTGTATGTATTTGTTTGTTTTTTAACGTACTAAGTAGTGATAAACAGGTCACTCAATATGTGATGATATATATGTCTGTGTCTATATACGTACCTACCTACTATATGCTGTATTATAACACTATCTACCTAGTATAGTATGGTATATTATAAGAAATAAACAATACCCACCTACTACATGGTATATGTTATAACAAATCAACAATACCTCCTAATGTATGGTATACTATAGCAAATCAACAATATCTACCTGCCATGTGGTATATTAGAGCAACTCAACAATATCTACCAACTATGTGGTATAATATAACAATTCAACAACACCTCCCTTCAATATTGTATATTAATATAACAAATCAAGAAGTCAAACTTGCCTTGCAAAAAGTCTTCTAATACTTTGAACTGCAGAAACACGTCTTCATGGTAAATACATATATAAATCATGTCTAACATCTTTTTAACAGTAAGCATAGTTTTGGAGAAAAAAAACCTCTTTATTAATATATATGACTTCTTTTCTGACCTCTTATAAATACTAGTATATCACCCGTGAAGATCGGGGTTAGAATAGTGCTTAGCAAACCATTCTTGTAGTGAGAGGCGACAAAAAGGATCGGGTGGTCAGGCTCGCTGACTTGGTTGATGCATGTCATCGTATCCTAATTGCATGGGTCGATGATCATGACATGAATCACTGGATTGTCTGGTCGAGACTCGATGATATACAGACCGGCTTCATATAGGTGGAATATTGCTCAGTGCCGCGTTAAACAGCAAACAAACAAATCATATGAATAAAAGCGACAAAACTATTTCCATAATCATTAGAAATCTCTACTTAAAGCAGAGTCCTATGATCGATTCTATATACCATAAGGCGCCGCGGTTCGCTGTGTAGAGTTGCGTCCCTTGGGTACGCTAGAAACCTATGATTGTGGGGTTCGAATCCAGGTTCGCCCCGATTATTTCCAGGTTTGTCGGCACCATACCCGTGCTCGTGGGTTTCACCGATATAGTAAACGTTTGAGACCTGCATCACTTCGGGCTTTCCTCCCACATTAAAATGCCACGCCGTGACATAACTGGAATACTGTTAACTCACTCACACTCTCTCATGTCCAGACAACCCAAATAACAAAATGATAACTTGTCACTGACAATATAGGGTCGTGTGGAGAGTGTTGTTACTGCGTTCGGAAAGGTAAGATATAATCAAGAGGTGACGTGGAAATACTCGGTCAATGTAGAATACCAGAAATGTCGGCGCAATGTTCAATGAGTCTTTGTCGCCATACTGTCCACTCAAAAATAACCTAATCAGATAAGGTCGACGGCAGGGACAGCTAAAACAATTTCAAGCAACGTTACACACAATTTATGTTACACAATCATGCACAAGCTGTATGGCGTGATCCTCATCTTGGTGGTGGTCATAGATGTGGTTTGGTGTCAGTCCTGTCCGAGCGGCTTCCTGCACCACAACGACTCCTGCTACAGCCTCATCCGTGTCCAGGCCTCGTGGGCGGAGGCGGCCGTGTACTGTCAGGCTATAGGCTCCCACCTGGCCTACGTGGAGACGGATTCCGAACAAACCTTTGTGGAAGGTTATCTCAAAAGAGAAGATTCTACTATAACGACCAATGGTGTCTGGATCGGTGGTTTGACGTACCTGACGGAGAGAGAGTGGCAGTGGGGATGTCAAAACACCCGAATCGCCAGAACCTTCTGGGCTCCTGGAGACCCAAATAACGACCACGGCAGCCAGTGGTGTCTGATGTGGTACAAGAAGGGCGACTACCGGTGGGACGACAATGGATGTCATGTCAACGAGTTTTTCCTGTGTGAGTTGGAGCTCATTCCCCCAGAAATAGTTGGGAAATAACATCCCAGTCGGAACATTGGAAACCCCAAGAGTACATTGGAAGAAAGTTATTGTGTCCCTAGAAATAATCCTTTTTTAATATAAATGTGCGTGTTGCCCCTTTTAATATGTGTCTTACAATGCACATTAAGTAACTGATACTGATTGGATCGGTTGCTCTGGACGTTTGATCGATCATTCCTAATATGCATAGCCTTCGCGAATGCTTAGAAAGGACATGGTAAATAATATTATCACTGTTAAATTATATAAGTTGATGTGAATAGTCCATCATGACTCAACACGAAAACAATAAATGCTTAACGGGTTCAATCGCATATTTGTCTTTCCATCATGTGTTTATGCATAAAGTTGTCGGCTTAACAAGCCGTTCTGCTTGTGCTCAAATGGCACATCTAAAGACTATTTGAACGCGTTCAATACTTAATGTTTCCTTCCATTTATCTGATGGCGCAAATGTATTTGAAACCAGTGTTGGGGCACCATATCTGTGATACCTCCTTCATAACTACTCTGTCAAGGCTAACACATTTTCCCGTGTTTATCCTCTGACCTGGAGCTGAGTTGAGTTCCTTTGAAGGTGGTGCTTGATTCCTTTGAAGGGGGTGTTTGATGTCTTTGAAGGGGGTGATGAATTCCTTTGAAAGGGGTTCTTGATTCTTTGAAGGGGGTTCTTGATTCCTTTGAAGGTGGTGCTTGATTCCTTTGAAGGTGGTGCTTGATTCCTTTGAAGGGGGTTCTTGATTCCTTTTCAGGGGGCGCTTGATTCCTTTTCAGGGGGTTCTTGATTCCTTTTCAGGGGTGTCTTGCTTCCTTTGAAGGGGTCGCTTGATTCCTTTGAAGTGGGCGCTTGATTCCTTTGCATGGGTGCTTGATTCCTTTGAAGTGGGTGCTTGATTCCTTTGAAGGGGTGCTTGATTCCTTTGAAGGGGTGCTTGATTCCTTTGAAGTGGGTACTAGATTCCTTTGAAGTTGGTGCTTGATTCCTTTGCATGGGTGCTTGATTTCTTGAAGGGGTGGTTGATTCCTTTGAAGGGGGTGCTTGACTCCTTTGAAAGGGGTGCTTGATTCCTTTGAAGGAGTCGCTTGATTCCTTTTTGCAGTGGGTGCTTGATTCCTTTGCATGGGTGCTTGATTCCTTTGAAGTGGGTGCTTTATTCCTTTGAAGGGGCTGCTTGATTCCTTTTCAGGTGGTGCTTGATTCCTTTGAAGGGGGTGCCTGATTCCTTTGAAGTTGGTGCTTGATTCCTTTGAAGGGGGTACTTGATTCCTTTGAAGGGGGTGCCTGATTCCTTTGAAGGGGGTGCCTGATTCCTTTGAAGGGGTACTTGATTCCTTTGAAGGGGTTGCTTGATTCCTTTGAAGTGGGTACTAGATTCCTTTGAAGTTGGTGCTTGATTCCTTTGAAGTGGGTACTTGATTCCTTTGAAGGGGGTGCTTGATTCATTTGAAGGTGGTCCTTGATTCCTTTGAAGGGGTGCTAGATTTCTTAAAAGGGGGTGCTTGATTCCCTTGAAGGGGGTGCTTGAAAAGATAATGTAAGGTCTATTTGCCTTCTTCTTGAAGTGTTTTTCGCACAATCTCCGGGGTTGTTTTAGGGAAGACTGAAGTCGTGTTCCTGTCATATTTCATGTATCACCTAGAGTGGTGTCAAATGGTGACTGCTTAACAAAGTGGGAGGCGCTTCTTTTAAACAATTAAAAATAAAAAAATAAAAGACGCTTGTAAAGGTTAAGAAGGGAGAATGCTGCCACAGAGGTAAAACTGTGACAATACAAGCTAATTAATGTATGCAAAAGCATGCACATTTTATGTCTACAATGCGGCACGTGTGGTCCAGTCGGGTAAGGCGCGACGATTCCCTTTCCAGAATCGCCAAAAACATCAATATCAATCATAGATTTGCCTTGGTTTCTAGGCCTGTCGCCATACCGGTTGGTTTCACCAAAGTTGTAAACGTCCAATACCCCGTTCACACGCACGTGTGCTCTATACATACGTGTGCATATGTAAATGTACTATGCGTTCATATGAAAATTAACTAAGGTGTGTAAATTAAGTATGTAAATGGTGTAAGGCAGATATATTAATCGATCTGTTCACGACTTTCAACATGAAAAAAGGTTGTTTTCCAATAAAAGTCGAATAGGAAGAGAGTTTACCAGACAAAACTCTTCGCATGAACCAACAAGTGAGCGATTTAATCTGGACTCCCTGAAACTCAAAGAAAACTATGGCAGTTCGGGATGTCTGCATTGTATTGTAAATTTAACAAATGTTATATTTGGGATAACACTTTCTAAGTAAAGTACAGATTCTAGCACTTTTTTTGGTTGAGTCCCATCCGGGCTTCGAACTCAGCGATCTAACCTACTCAGCCACCGAGGCTTCCGCAAAATGAAAGTCCGACAACTGGTAGTCTAAATCACGTACTCTGTGTACCCCTCTGAGAGGTGTAAATTGGCACGGCTCTCATGGCCGAAAGCTATGAATCCCAGATGGAACTCAACCCCCAAAATTACTAGAATCTGTACTTTACTAAGAAAGCGTTCTCCCAAATATAAAATTTACTACATTTGACCACATTCTAAATGCCATTGTGTGTTCATAGCTTTCGGCCATGGGAGCCGTGCCAATTTACACTCGTCATGGGGGCGGAAACAAAATTGCCGCCAAATTGCTATTTTTTCTATCTTTTGTGAACCATTTTCTGCAATAACTGTAACAAGGCAAGCAAAAATGACAAATAAAGTGTCTATACCTGTGTTTTGAAAGTCAGAGAATATGATGAGGACATATCTGAAGTAGTTAGTAGTTAACAATACTTATGAATATGTAGATCAGTGGTCGACGTGACAGAATAATTTTTGCTCCAATTTCCCTGTAACTGGGCAAGCAAACATGACACATGAAGTGTCTTTCCCTATATGTTGAGGGTTGGGCAATGTGATCAGTGATAAGCCAGGTACTTAACTATGCAAATGAGCTACCTATTTATAAATTTCAAAACAATCCATGTATCAAAGCTCAATGTTCAGGTTCCTGAAAATACTCCTGATGCTAATCAGGCATGACTGGGTAATTGGTCTCGCTCACGAATGCCTCACATAATTTTTTTTGGATGAATGGTGGCTGTTTAAATTTAAAATATAAAAAAAATCTATTTTTTCAGACACAGAACAGTCTGTATATTAGTTTTAATATGTATATTCATGGGTACTTATACCATTTACAATTCTTCATCTTATAACTTAAGAACGATATATACTAATTTTCAATCTCTAAAGATTGCTTTGACGTGATGAGATGATTGTAATAGATAAAGCTCATTTTTAATATCAGTTGATCTTGCTTTAATGTTTTAGCATTCTACACTCATATTTCCAATTACCACACCAACAAATAAATATTGTTTTTCTATTTCCTCTTGACATTAATATATATCTGCTTTGCACAGTGGTATAAATTTATTTTACTTGTGCATGTGTACTAGTACTAGATTATACATGCATGACAGTTTAGTAGTTTAGACATAACCACATGGAATGATTGTGGGGTTAAATGTATATTTATGTCATGATACAAATATTTGATTCTAAACTTATCTATTATATCTAATAGACTTCATATTACAGTTGTCTCGGGGTACTGTTGAATGAAAATCAGGATATATAGCTATAGCATTGGTGGTATGAGAAATAACTTGTCAACATAACATCTGTTGCTACAACAAGAAGATACAACTAACGTTTAAATCCATTTGTGTGTCATACACATTATGGGGTAGCCAGTATAATTTGTTGTTTGTTGGGACAAATCCCAGTATTTTACTACTATTTTAAAAGCATGAGTATCAGAATTATGTAAGAAATGATGGATCAATGAGTGAACACCTGTGATGACTCAAAGCACTATTTTTTGTATAAATTATGGGACACATTTTACAAGGGGTAGAAAAATATGAGTAAATCTTTTATACCCAACTATGACAAACTATGTCAGGTGTGTATATTGCAACTGAGTAACTGATTGGTTGTTGGATGCAAAGTATGAAAAGCATTTGAAAAGAATTGACCTTCACTTTGAGTGAGTTCATTGGAGTATGAACCTTCATAGAGTGAGGGCCAATCTGTATGAACGTCGGAGCTTGCGAACAATCATGCAGTCACGCTCTCTGACATTTCTCAATATATACTGAAACGCTAAGACCAAGAATAAATGTTCTAAATGATCAGAAAGAACGCTTATGCATGTTTTCGTGATAGGGAATTCCCAGGGGTTTCCCCGGGAATGTGGAAGTAGACCGTCAGTGTACTTCATTTCAAGAACACGGTCTCGTGAAAAACGTATGAACGTCAAATTGTGTGTGTGTGTGTGTGTGTGTGTGTGTGTGTGTGTGTGTGTGTGTGTGTGTGTGTGTGTGTGTGTGTGTGTGTGTGTGTGTGTGTGTGTGTGTGTGTGTGTGTGGCTGCTTGTACTAGTCCGAACTGATACCGATTTATAGTGCTAGTTTACTGAGATACAATGCCGCAGTTTAACATCCATAGAGGTAAGATCATAGAAACATCTTATCTGTACATCCTGATAAGTAATAATTTTTTTGTAGACATTGTAGGCGGCCTTAGTACCATGACTGTATGGTTAAAGTTAATTAAACTATTCAAGTAAAAGCAATTCGTAACGCTAATGTCACTTTCAGAACGCAGGCCCTTTTTATATCTCAGCATGGGGAATGTCAATACCATAGTTAACTTTACATAGACTCAAGTGGCTGGAGAGATAGGATCGTCTTGAAGAATGAGGACCTTTTTACATCTCAGCGTGAGGAATGTCATCACCATAGTTAACTTCACATAGATTCAATTGGCTGTAGAGATAGGATCGTCTTGAAGAAAGAGGTCCTTGTTACACACAGACTGATAACAGTTCAGCTTCCCAACGTCCTTTCCAAGTGACAGTAACACGGCAGACCTCGCTATATGCATTGGTTACCTTTGTGATATCAAAAATTTCAAATGTCAAAAACAAGACACATAGTGTAGCTCACCTTGTGTTAAGTAAACTTGTAGCAGGGGTATATCAGCCAAATATTCTGAGACACAAGGCGATCTGACATATTAAAACACCGGGACACATCAACATCATGACATACAGCATTCAGAGACACTACAGTAATCTTGGGCAATAAATAAGTGTGACACACTACAATCTAATGACACACTACAAAAATACAGTAGTAAACTGAGAGACTACAACAATGAGGGACACCCATCACTGTAAGACACTACAACTTGAGCTGCCACAGCAATCTACACCGATCTTACACGCCACAACAATCTACACCGATCTTACACGCCACAACAATCTACACCGATCTTACACGCCACAACAATCTACACCGATCTTACACGCCACAACAATCTACACCGATCTTACACGCCACAACAATCTACACCGATCTTACACACCACGACAATCTACACCGATCTTACACGCCACAACAATCTACACCGATCTTACACGCCATAACAATCTACACCGATCTTACACGCCATAACAATCTACACCGATCTTACACGCCACAACAATCTACCCCGATCTTACACGCCACAACAATCTACACCGATCTTACACGCCACAACAATCTACACCGATCTTACACGCCACAACAATCTACACCGATCTTACACGCCACAACAATCTACACCGATCTTACACGCCACAACAATCTACACCGATCTTACACGCCACAACAATCTACACCGATCTTACACGCCACAACAATCTACACCGATCTTACACGCCACAACAATCTACACCGATCTTACACGCCACAACAATCTACACCGATCTTACACGCCACAGCAATCTACACCGATCTTACACGCCACAACAATCTACACCGATCTTACACGCCACAACAATCTACACCGATCTTACACGCCACAACAATCTACCCCGATCTTACACGCCACAACAATCTACCCCGATCTTACACGCCACAACAATCTACACCGATCTTACACGCCACAACAATCTACACCGATCTTACACGCCACAGCAATCTACACCGATCTTACACGCCACAACAATCTACCCCGATCTTACACGCCACAACAATCTACCCCGATCTTACACGCCATAACAATCTACACCGATCTTACACGCCACAACAATCTACCCCGATCTTACACGCCACAACAATCTACACCCATCTTACACGCCACAACAATCTACACCGATCTTACACGCCACAACAATCTACACCGATCTTACACGCCACAACAATCTACCCCGATCTTACACGCCATAACAATCTACACCGATCTTACACGCCACAACAATCTACACCGATCTTACATGCCACAACAATCTACCCCGATCTTACACGCCACAACAATCTACACCGATCTTACATGCCACAACAATCTACCCCGATCTTACACGCCACAACAATCTACACCGATCTTACATGCCATAACAATCTACACCGATCTTACACGCCACAACAATCTACCCCGATCTTACATGCCACAACAATCTACACCGATCTTACACGCCATAACAATCTACACCGATCTTACACGCCACAACAATCTACACCGATCTTACACGCCACAACAATCTACACCGATCTTACACGCCACAACAATCTACACCGATCTTACACGCCACAACAATCTACCCCGATCTTACACGCCACAACAATCTACCCCGATCTTACACGCCACAACAATCTACACCGATCTTACACGCCACAACAATCTCCACCGATCTTACACGCCACAACAATCTACACCGATCTTACGAGCCACAACAATCTACCCCGATCTTACACGCCACAACAATCTACACCGATCTTACACGCCACAACAATCTACACCGATCTTACACGCCACAACAATCTACACCGATCTTACACGCCATAACAATCTACACCGATCTTACACGCCACAACAATCTACACCGATCTTACACGCCACAACAATCTACACCGATCTTACACGCCACAACAATCTACCCCGATCTTACACGCCACAACACTCTACACCGATCTTACACGCCACAACAATCTACACCGATCTTACACGCCACAACAATCTACCCCGATCTTACACGCCACAACAATCTACCCCGATCTTACACGCCACAACAATCTCCACCGATCTTACACGCCACAACAATCTACACCGATCTTACACGCCACAACAATCTACCCCGATCTTACACGCCACAACAATCTACCCCGATCTTACACGCCACAACAATCTACACCGATCTTACACGCCACAACAATCTACACCGATCTTACACGCCACAACAATCTCCACCGATCTTACACGCCACAACAATCTACACCGATCTTACACGCCACAACAATCTACACCGATCTTACACGCCACAACAATCTACACCGATCTTACACGCCACAACAATCTACACCGATCTTACACGCCACAGCAATCTACACCGATCTTACACGCCACAACAATCTACACCGATCTTACACGCCACAACAATCTACACCGATCTTACACGCCACAACAATCTACACCGATCTTACACGCCACAACAATCTACCCCGATCTTACACGCCATAACAATCTACCCCGATCTTACACGCCACAACAATCTACCCCGATCTTACACGCCACAACAATCTACACCGATCTTACACGCCACAACAATCTATACCGATCTTACATGCCACAACAATCTACCCCGATCTTACACGCCACAACAATCTACACCGATCTTACACGCCACAGCAATCTACACCGATCTTACACGCCACAGCAATCTACACCGATCTTACACGCCACAACAATCTACACCGATCTTACACGCCACAGCAATCTACACCGATCTTACACGCACAGCAATCTACACCGATCTTACACGCCACAACAATCTACCCCGATCTTACACGCCATAACAATCTACACCGATCTTACACGCCACAACAATCTACACCGATCTTACACGCCACAACAATCTACACCGATCTTACACGCCACAACAATCTACACCGATCTTACACGCCACAACAATCTACACCGATCTTACACGCCACAACAATCTACACCGATCTTACACGCCACAGCAATCTACACCGATCTTACACGCCACAGCAATCTACACCGATCTTACACGCCACAACAATCTACACCGATCTTACACGCCACAGCAATCTACACCGATCTTACACGCCACAACAATCTACACCGATCTTACACGCCACAGCAATCTACACCGATCTTACACGCCACAGCAATCTACACCGATCTTACACGCCACAACAATCTACACCGATCTTACACGCCACAGCAATCTACACCGATCTTACACGCCACAGCAATCTACACCGATCTTACACGCCACAACAATCTACACCGATCTTACACGCCACAACAATCTACACCGATCTTACACGCCACAACAATCTACACCGATCTTACACGCCACAACAATCTACCCCGATCTTACACGCCACAACAATCTACACCGATCTTACACGCCACAACAATCTACCCCGATCTTACACGCCACAACAATCTACCCCGATCTTACACGCCACAACAATCTACCCCGATCTTACACGCCACAGCAATCTACCCCGATCTTACACGCCACAACAATCTACACCGATCTTACACGCCACAGCAATCTACCCCGATCTTACACGCCACAACAATCTACACCGATCTTACACGCCACAGCAATCTACACCGATCTTACACGCCACAACAATCTACACCGATCTTACACGCCACAACAATCTACACCGATCTTACACGCCACAACAATCTACACCGATCTTACACGACACAACAATCTACACCGATCTTACACGCCACAGCAATCTACACCGATCTTACACGCCACAACAATCTACCCCGATCTTACACGCCACAACAATCTACCCCGATCTTACACGCCACAACAATCTGAGATAAACTCCTGTATGCATATCCGTTCCTGGCACTCCTAACGTTTTAGTATATCAGTCGAAATTTCAGAGTTTGAGAGTGTCTGTGCGTACAGGTAAGGTGAGTGAGACATCGCATCACCGTGAGACATCTCGACACTATGACACACTACAACAATCTGAGACACAACAGAGAATATATGACACGACAGAAGTATGATACGCTATAAGTAGGAATAATGCTATTGGAGGCCTTTTCGTGAAAAGTAATAATATAATTCGATATTTTGGGTCTTTTTTAACGAAGCAAAAGTATGTGCACTTTATGATGACATTCACGCGTCAAGCATACTTAGAGTAGTATGGACACATCGACATGGATCACCTTAAAGTTCCAATATTGCGAGTTGGAACAATATTTACATCAGGTCATGTAAATCAATGTTGACTTTCATTTCACTGTACATACAGGGGGAACATTTTGCCAAGTGTATGATCAACGATCAAAGACATCTAGACATATAGATAAATGGGGTTTTGTTTCCATTCAAGGGCAAAAAAATCCTGGAACGTTCACAAAGTTAGTTTAACGCCAAGTACATACTAACATGCGTATCTCCATCTATCATATCAAGGCAACTCAAATTACAAACTTATGTCTTGTCACTGGTCATATTATTCGTGGAGAGTTTTTATATTGAGCTCGCAAAGATGAGATCTAATCAAGCGGGGACATGAATATATTCGGTCAACGTAGGATAGCAGACATTTGGTGCAATGTTCAATGAGTCGCTATACTTCTACTGTACTCTAGATATGCATATCAGATAAAGCCGTGAGCAGTGACAAACATTGAACAATTACAAAATTACAATTGTCGTTTCAAAAACACGATGTTGAAGCTATCTGGTGTGACCCTAATCCTGACAGCAGTCACGGGTGTGGTTTGGTGTCAGTCCTGTCCCAGCGGCTTCCTACACCACGACGACTCCTGCTACAGCCTCATCCGTGTCAAGGCCTCGTGGGCGGAAGCGGCCGTGTACTGTCAGGCGATAAGCGCCCATTTAGCCTACGTCCAGACGGCTTCGGAACACAACTTTGTGGAAGGTTATCTCAAAAGAGAAGACTCTACTATAAGAACTGATGGTGTCTGGGTCGGTGGTTTGACGTACCTGGTACAGAACGAGTGGCAGTGGGGATTTGAAAATACCCGAACCGCCAGTACCTGGTGGCTTCCCGGGGAACCGAATAATGATCACGGTGCCCAGCTTTGTCTCATGTACAAGAAAGGATCGTACCTGTGGGACGACAATGAATGTCAAGACACGGAGTTTTTCTTATGTGAATTCGAACTCGGATCTACCCCCCAAATAGTTGGGAAATAACATTCAAGTCGGAACAATGGAGACTCCACGAGAACATTAGAAGAAAGTTTGGCTTTGTGGACAACAGTTATTGTGTCCCTAGAAACAATGCTTTACTAATCTTAATGTGTGTTTTGCCTGTTAAATATGTGTCTTACAATACATATTAACTGACCGATGAATTGATTGGAGCACTTACTCTGATCATGCAAATGCATGTTTGTAACATAAATAGCATCTGATCATTTGAATATCCGCAGACTTCGCCAATGCTTACAAAAGGACATGGTATATGATATTATTGTATGTTTCTGATGAATATATGTTTCCGACGGTAATTATTTCAACTATTGTTTTTGAAAATATTTGCTTTTGAAAAATGTGACAAAGAAACAACAGATCATATCATATTACTCTGTATATAATATTGTTATATACACTCACGTAGCCGTAATGATAAGACGAGACTTTTGTTCCACGCAGTCTTGTTGAATTTCTCAACGTTCTTTTTAAGGTGACATTAACAATAAATCATACGCAATATGCAGTCCTTATCCCTGTGATGCTTGATTTAAAATTGCAATGGCGTAAACAAGACAGACTGTGAAGCTTTACTCATTCCTAGATAACTTGTAGCACGTGTATTACATATTACGCACCGGCGGCCATTTTGAGTCGAGATTACAACAAAGTCAACACGACACCAATGGTTGTCTTAAAAAAGCATGTGAATTGCATGACGACACGCGGTAGTCAAGTTGGCTGAGGTGCCGTGATTCGCTGTGCCAGAACAAATGATATGGGATTTGCCTTGATTGTTTCTAGGTTTGAAAGTAAAACGTCTAAAACCTGCACACATCACTTGGGGTTTGCCTTCCACATCAAGCTGACACGCCTTAATATAATAGGAATACTGTTCAAAGCAGGGTTGAACAAAACTCACCTACTGATGATGACACACTGCGTAAGGACACATCGTCGTATTGTAAATAGGTAAATTTTACGTTGAACAACCAAATATAGCCAGTGTGAAGCAAGCTGCATTAGTCTTACATAGTGCACCCTAATACTCTATTATACAGCTCAGCGTGCATTCACATGGATTATATCCTCGGCACCAACGATACTATGCTGATATATTAAGGATATTATATGAGTGTTCATGCCATACTATGTTAACAACAAGAGTGTCTAAATTCCGGAATTTAGGCACACGAGTTGGGTAAACATAGTATGACATGAACTCGAATATAATGTTCTATTTATTACCGAAGAAGATGTGTACATATAGAGACGAATTTTAGTGTTTACCTGTAAGGACAGTAAGCCGCAACAGCAGCGGAACTACAATTTATCGAATGACGTCAACAATCTTCAGCTATGACGTCGTTTCTAATGTGACGTCATTCCGACCTTACGTCACAATAAGATTCGAATGACGTAAACAATGTCGTCCGGATGACGGAAATAATACACTGTTGTCTCCTGACGTGATATCACCCTAGATATGATATTTACGAACCCCAATATGTTTGCCCTCGTAGGTAATAATTAGGTAATATGACCCTCAATGATGGCGATATAAGTCAGAATGAAAATCCCCAAGCCTTTATCGATTTCATCAAACTAAATAATATAACATAATTATGTTATACCTGTAATCATACCAGAACTCTCACTTGGGGCCTTATTTTTATATGTATACGGAAAAAAAACAACTTTTGTCCATGGGGTTTGGCTGTTCCCATACTTTATTCTGACTGACACAGAACACAGGGAGTTACCTGTCATGAATCACGGTGGTGTAATCAATATCAAATCTGTATTTTTTACAGGCAGCCTTTTGCTTCATTGCAGGGGTATGCGTTGTGTTTAATAGGTCAAATAAAAGATAACGACGATTCACGGATTCGATACACGTTGAAAGGTGTATGTTTCTACAATATGCTGAAAATGTTTAACTCATCAGTGAGTATTATTGTCGTGCTGGCAGTTATGAACGTGGTTTCCTGTGACTGCCCAAACGGCTTCCTGCACCATGATGACTCCTGCTACAGCCTCATCCGTGTCCAAGCCTCGTGGGCCGAGGCGGCCGTGTACTGTCAGGCTATAGGCTCCCACCTGGCCTACGTGGAGACGGATTCCGAACAAACCTTTGTGGAAGGTTATCTCAAAAGAGAAGACTCTACTATAACGACTGATGGTGTCTGGATCGGTGGGTTGACGTACCTGACGGAGAAAGAGTGGCAGTGGGGATTTCAAAATACCCGAATCGCCAGTACCTTCTGGGCCCCTGAAGACCCTAATAACGACGGCGGCAGCCAGTGGTGTCTGATGTTGTACAAGAAGGGCGACTTCCGGTGGGACGACAATGAATGTGATGAAAACGAGTTTTTCCTGTGTGAGTTGGAGTTCGGATCTTCACCTGACATAGTGGGCAAATAACATTGAAGTCGGAACAAAGGACTCTGCATGACACAGTACGGAAATTGACGTCGGTGACACTTATTTTGTTCCCAGAATCAGTTGTCAAATTTTATTTGTGATTACTGTGCAAGTTATCTGTTCTATATGTGTGACATAAAAAGTAACACAGCTCAAGTCAATGCTTAAAATGAACAGTATATATGATCTTGTCACTTGTCAAATAGTTCCATGTATTGGCATTGATAAGTGATTCAAAATGAATAAAATCGACGTAATCATAACAAAATACGTAACTGTTCTTTTATTTCTCTTTCCATCATAATGTATATATTACGTCATTGACCTTATCCACCGTTTTGCTTTTGTTTAAATTTCACTTTTAAGGGCCACGGGAATAGCGGATATTTCATGTGTCAAGTAAAATATCATATTTCTCTCATCGAGTGACGGGGGAAAGGAGATATTGTCACGAGACACATAAATTATCCTATTTATTATATACTTTTTGTGTAGTTGACATATCGTTAAAGTACCGTAAAAGTAATTCATTACAAATGTTAAACATTAAAACGTAAATTTTCTCTTGCTAACACGTACGGACCTTTTTACCACCCCTTGTAATTGCGACTTAAGAAGTAGTTCCGAGTTTGCAAAATCTTACAAAATATAAACAACAGTAATCCAAAATATTTGAGGTCACTCAATTTCTTATTATACATTTGGATATGATTATAAACAAAATAATCTTGAAAGCTACGAGAAAGCTGTTGGAAGCGAAGGAATACAGGCTGGTCAAGTAACATAAATGGCGCCTTTCGAAACGAATAGTCTGGATTGACGAGGTAAATGAGAAATTTACAGTTTATAATTATGTAACGAAAAATGTTCAACAGAATAACAAAACGGCAAGAAGCGATATTAACTCCATAAATGAACATCTGTTAATTTTTTGCCTTGTCAATGTGGAACTAACGTAAAACGGATGTCATCAGTTTGTGTATGGGGCTGACACTTACGATAAAGGGAGACAATTTGCGGGGAGTTGGCTCTTGAATGATAATAGTTCCGTCAAAGTGTTATGGTCACTGCTGTGAAATATCCAGTGCTGTTTTCACTGCAATCAAAATGTCACTTTGGAAAACTCAGTCTTCCAAAATTTGTTTTCGTTTTCATTACAGACAAGAACATTATTTGTATGGCCTTGCCATTTCATAATGTTTGGTAACATTATGACAAGGCATTGAAGCTTCATAGCTTTACAACTATAATGACTTCCTTACTTTTTAACACAACCGAAATCATCCACATAGGGTAGACACAGCTTCTGGTTACATATAAGTGACATTCGAAGTTACAGGGACAGTGACGCGGCAGCCGTGTGTTTTTCATATCGCTTTTTTCATGTGGCATCCGAACCTTTAAGGGTGCCGCTCTGTTTGCGTGAAGAGTTTACAGTGAAACGGAGACTTCCTGGCTAGCAAGGTTTCCGAAGTAGCTGGGTTTTCAGATAGCGAGGTTTACGGATTATTTGGGATTCCTTGCTAGCGAGTTTTCTGGAGTGTTCCGGATTAGCGGGGTTTCCGGACAAAGGGTTTTTCACTGTGTAGTGAGGTTCGATAGATCAGATATTTTATAATGTAAGATCTAAGTCAATGCTCATGTTCATTATGAAACTATTCCTTATATACGGTACACCTCAGACATGGGGAAACCTAAATAATTTAATTAGGATAGAATCCGTACAATGTGTAGAGTGTTTGTTTGTTTGTTTTTTGTTTAACGCCGCACTCAGCAATATTCCAGCTATATGACGGCGGTCTGTAAATAATCGAGTCTGGTCCAGACAATCCAGTGATTGACATCATGAACATCGATCCACGCAATTGGGATACGATGACATGCATCAACCAAGTCAGCGAGCCTGACCACCTGATCCCGTTAGTCGCCTCTTACCACAAGCATAGTCGCTTTTTATGGCAACCATGGGTTGCTGAAGACCTATTCTGCCACGGATCTTCACGGGTCACAAGTGTATGTGTATAAACTTTGAGAAGAAGAACTGTTGTAAAACGCACATGTGCATATACTTCAATACCACAAGATAACGTATGTAAAATGTGGATCAGATGGCATTAAAACAATATAGCATTGATTGGTTGACATCTCTGGTGATTCCTGTCGTTACTAGTGGATAGACCGTCTACTTGGAGAGCGGAAGATCTGTGGTTCGATCCCCAGTCCCATCATATGAAATAAAAGCGACTAAACATTTGTTTTAATCAAGACCAGAATCTTTTAAAAGTAGCTTACGATTGTGACTAAGCATGTGCTTGTGAGTCACTATCAAATAGTGATGATGCCAGATGTTCACAAAAATGTGAGCGAGTCAGGCTTCACTGATGGTATCGTCACAAAAGACGTTAATAGAGGTTATTTGTTGTTACCCTGCCTGGCGCTCGATAATAAAGTGGATAAAAACAAGTTCAGAGTCAATGCACTGTGCTTGAGTGGGGTATCGTATCCATATTAGCCTACGGAATGGCATCTTAGTGAGCTAGCACTATAAAATCGGCATAGGCCTGGTCGAGTAGAAGCAGCCACACACACACACACACACACACACACACACACACACACACACACACACACACACACACACACACACACACACACACACACAAACACGGCAGTGACGATAGTGAGTGAGTGAGTATGGTTTTACGCCGCTTTTAACAATATTCCAGCAATATCATGGCGGGGGACACCAGAAATGGGCTTCGCTCATTGTACCCATTGTCGGGAATCGAACCCGTGTCTTCGGCGTGACGAGCGAACGCTTTAACCACTGGGTTACCCGACCGCCCCCGGTGACGATAGACTCGCCATGTATCTGTAGTTGGCTTATCTATGACTTCAATGTTGGTTTTCTAGGTGTTGTTTCGGAGAGAGAAATATGTCTTGAAGAAGTGACAGAACATATGTTAAATGATCGGCTCCTGTGTATCTATCAAACCCTAGGACTTGAGGTGCAGTCCTTTAGTTTTCTTTTACGAGCAAGACGTGAAACAATTCTTGCATGTATTTCGGTACAGCTGTGCTAAAGTAAAGGTTGTTCTGTTTGTTCTGTTTAACATATTAAATACGATGTTTGTTTTGCTTAGATATTAAGCCTTTACAAGTTATCACTCCAGCAGAGATAGACCTGAAACGTTATTAGGAGAATAAATCATTCAAGTTCAAAGAGTTAACACCAGCGCTAAGAAGGACGGGGTTAGCCAATTTGACACAGGCAGACACTGGCAGATCCTACACCGAGGATCCGGTTGTATGGCAGTAATGCTTTCAGAGTGCAGTTTTATCAGGTACACTGAAGGAAGAACACATTACATATCTCGCTGCCCGTTCACACAAAATAACATGGGGATTGTCCTATGCCGAGAGCCCATTGTGTTACAACACAAATAGGGTGTATTTGAGTCCGGGGCGGACACATTATACATTGCGCTGCCCCTTGACACAGACAGATAGTGATATGGCGGCATACCGAGAGCTCAGGAGTTATAACGAAAATATGGTGTATTAGAATCTGGTGTTCTGCAGGACTTGAGCTGCTCAACATAGCTCGAAACATGGCCGTTAATACCAGTGGTCCAGTGGCATTCATCATTGGCAGGGGCGATCGGGTAGCCTAGTGGTTAAAGCGTTCGCCCGTCACGCCAAAGACCCGGGTTCGATTCCCGACATGGGTACGACGTGTGAAGCCCATTTCTGGTGTCCCCCGCCGTGATATTGCTGGAATATTGCTAAAAGAGGCGTAAAACCACAATCAATCACTCATCATTGGCAACAGTGGTATTGAAAGTAAAGTTTAACATATACGTGCTTTTTTCAACAACCAGAATATGATGAGAAAGATAAAATAGGAATCACAATACACATTTTAAGAAACTATTCACGACAAAAACATATACATGTACCCCAGAAACCTGTTTTGTTCAGTATATATAACACGAACATTCTATAAATGATTCAAATCATATTTATCAAAATTCATTCTGGTAGGATTTATTGCAAATTCTTAACACTCTCGTTAATTACTAAGTATACAATTCTCAAAGATAAAGTCGTTGATGTATGAACTTAAACATTCCAACTTTTGACTATTAATATACTTCATTCGTGTGCACACAGTATGTAACATGTATTTCTTCACACGAACATTATTAATATACCTTGTGTAATTACTCATGACAACACAATCAGGGCAAATATACAAATTATATAAGGTTATATTTCGAAAATTTATTTTGTTTTTCTGAACATTTTTAGACCAGTTTAGAATGAAACAAGAAGGCGATGTGATCAGGCTTGACAGACGTCCGCTTCAAACATAGCCGTTTATAAGGCAAGTGTTAGGGAAGCTGGATGTTGGGAAAGCTATTTTACTTTTATTAATTCTTTGAAATATACTTTAACACAAAACCACAATTAAATAGCATAAAAGAATTTCGACCCCGTGTGTTGTATTATATAATTAGGATAAAATAAAAGCAAGAAGATAGATGTATTGTTTTCTTCAGAAGTACATCCGTTATGCGATGCAGCCTGGCATATAGGACAATCCTTCAAGTGGCAGCTGGCGTGGTAGCTGACGTTGCACCTGACGTTGCACCTGACATGGCACCTGACGTGGCAGCTGACGTTGCACCTGATGTGGCAGCACTCGGCATTGTTGTCTCAGAAGCGGTCCTCTCCACGCCCACTGTCCGGCTTTTAGATGTGGCCGCTTTAGCAACTGCCTGGAAACACGTGCAGAGCAAAACGATGGTAACGAACGCTGCACCGATGATGATTATTATTGCCCATCTGAAAAGAAAAAGAACAACAATGTTTGTTGGCTCCACTAATTTGCCAAAGAAGAAATATCATCTCTGTCAACTGGGTATCAGCAGCATTAACACTGGTACTTCTATCCATACCATCTTGGGGATTCCGAGTTAGAATTGGACCAGGCAACTTATGGTGGGGTGATCAGGTTTGGTGACTTGGTTGATGTCGTCGTACGCAGATGACGTGAGGCGTTGTTCATAGTTGTATTGTTGACACTCATAATTATAATTCATTCACGACCATATGCTTATTCTCATACTAAATCTCATAAAAAACACACTCTTCTTAGCATTATACAAATAATTGCTCTTGATGCTCGTGATGTCTCCATTACGTAAGTTTGCAGAAGTGTAGTATAGTCATTCTCCGGTATGACGTGAGGTTACATTTCTTGCA